AAATTTGTAGTAATTGAAAAACTCAGGACAGAAAATAGCTTCTCAGCAAGAACTGTAGCAGGAAAGAGACACAAGGTGGCAGCATTAAGCCATGCTAGTGGCAGTGGCTCACGATGCACACTTCCAAAAATGTTATTTTATTCTAGATTAATACTAAGCGTCCTCCTCACCCTGTTTGTTAACCAACAGTATGCCGTATTTCACTTAACAGCTTGCATGGAAAAGGTTTGACGGATGCATCTATTCTTTACTGTGACTCCACATCCAGTTGGGGATTAGCAGATGTTTGGCTAGTAAGGAAACTGCAGGCTAAACGACCCAATACAGGTTAATTTCATAGTGCAGAGTTTAACATCTCCATCTGTTTAATACAAAAGCTGGTGTGATCTGGATTGAGATCACAACAATGCAACTGAGGGAACTTTAAACCATTCCCACTCTATTTTTAATTCCAAAATCTACCACATACACCCAGTGCCCAGGGTAGGGGTAAAGGAGTGAAGGAAAGCTTAACAGCTGACAATAGATGTTTGTTTTTCTGTCTCTGCACACATACAAGAGGGTGATTTTGAGATAAAATACAGAGGGGAGAAATATTTAAGTAACTCTCCTATGCATAGTGGTCTTTATTAAGATCAGGGCTGCCGGTGCTTCCCTGAAGGTAAGACACATACGTATTTGAACTGTGTGCCATAGTTGCTATGGCACAGAACGGGCAGTTTGAAGCATTGCAAATGTGTGCCAGGCCTTGCTCCTCACCTGCCAGACAATGGAAAGACTGGGAAGGGAAGAGGAAGCCCAGCAACAGGTCATTGTGGCAGACAAAAATACTTGCTCTCATTAGGAGTCAAAGGCCACTAGCTCTTCTGCATGAAAGATGACAACATACACTCCACATTTTTTAAATACAGCTAAGGTACTGCTCAGAAGAATGTACTCTCAGCAGGATCTCCAAGTACCTAGGGCATAAACTAGAAAAGAGACAGTGGGTAATGGCACTTTTTTAAAAAAAAAAATCCCAAAATGGAAATATTTTGCTTTATTATCAGCAAGAGTACATTATGGAGAAAGGGAAAGCTATGCTGACATTTCACCTTGAATGGCGTCTCTCAAAACTGGAGGGTGCCCTGTTTTGATTTCTATTCCCAAGATAGCATGGCACTTGCACTGAGCAGGTTGCCTGCTAAAGGAGTTGGATAGTGACCCCAGTTCCAATGCATCACAGAAATTCCACCTCAGCTCCTCTTTTAAAGGCAGTAGCATCAAGCTGAAGCTCTCCTGTGAAGATTGGGTGTAGCACACATTTTAAAGAATCCAGAAGAGAATTTTTGTTTTTGTTGGAACCTCAAATGACACCCCCCCCAAAAAAAACACACACACCCTCTTTCTCTTCTTCTTAGCCATTACCTGAGACAAGGATTAAATTTCCTTCCTGTTAAAGCTCTCCTAGCATCAAAATTGAATTTGGGCTGAATTACATTTTCTGTGCTTATAAAGTTGTCATATAAAGCCCAATTAAGACTTTCAAGTCCCATTGATTCCATGGCAATCCATATCCAGGCAAATTTTAAATTGCTGTTGGTTTTTACTGGGCTGGTACTCCTATATACTTTTAAAAGAAAATATTAGAAATTAATTATTCAACCTATATTGTTAAAGCCACATCTGTATGGTTCAGGTTCATTATTCACTATTCAAAACAAAGGACCACCACCACCATCAGTGTCTGAGTATCTACATACTCAACGTAACAGTAGGCCTATCGTCCATGCACCAGACATCACTTATTCTAAGAACAGGGCTCCTCATGGATTCATTTTTTCCCAAGTGGAAACTCAACTGGCTATACAAACTCAGAGCAATCACTACCAGCTTCAACTGGTACAGTAGCTATGATCACTCTTGTGCAGAGACCTTCCGGGTACAGTGGGGTCTTGACTTGAGAGCTTAATCCGTATTGGAAGGCGGTTCTCAAGTCAAAAAGTTCTCAGGTCAAATCTGCATTTCCCATAGGAATGCATTGAAAACCATTTGATCCGTATCTGCTCTTTTCCGTCCATAGAAACTAATGGGAAGCTGCTATTCTGCCTTCGACCACTAGAGGGGGATATTTTGTTTCTTTTTTTCTTAGGTCAAGAAAGGTTCAGGGAAGGCAGGGAAAATACAGTCCAGGCAGTACCAGGCAGTCTGAAGACTGTCTCCCAATCCACTCTCTAAACGCTGGGAGGAGTGAGGAAGCAGACAGGCACCCTTTTCACTGGCCAACAGTTAGCTGAAAGTTCAAATTTTGCACTTTCCCTGCCTCCCACATGGTTTTTTTCAGTTCTTAACTCAAATCTAAGTATGTAAGTCAAGTCAATATTTTCCTATGAGAGTGGTTCTTAAGTCAAAATGTTCTTAACTCAAGCCGTTCTTAAGTCAAGACCCCGCTGTAGTGATTTGTATATCACTAAACTCAAGAACATAGAATATCGTAATGAGTCTGATAGGAGGCTACCTTGGACCCCACTCACAGAAAGAGGCAGCCAGGATTTATCACTTATGCTGCAGGAATTGCACTAAGGAGCTCTCTAAGGTGAGAAAGGGGCAAGATCACTTCTATTTTTTTTTGAGGCTCCTTGTAATATCAAAATAAAGAAATGCCAAAACAGGGTTACAAAAAGTGTGGTATATTTTTAATGTGAGACCCTCCATGAATGAGCGGACCAGACCAAATGGCTTTCCTGCCCCATTCTGATCAGCCCTGCCTACATTGGCTGCCAATTAGTTCCTGATACAAATTCAAGGTGTCAATTTTCATTATTACGATTTTAGGTGTTTTGTGATACAGTAAGCAGAGCCTCCCCAACAGAGTTTAAAGACCTGTCCACTCTTTATACAAGAGGCAGCATCTCTCAGTTAGTCCCTGAGCACTTTTAAAATCTTATAAACCAAGAGTGACACTTTGAATCTGTATCAGTAGCCAACTGGCAGCCAGTGCAGAGACACAGATTTAGCCTAATCACCAATTCCCATGCAAGTACGCACACACAGATAAATATGGAAAGTATAGAGCTAATTGTATCCATTTTCTTCTCCCTAATCACAAACAGTGTGTATTACCACCACTGTGGTATTTCCAATCATGTGGTGGAAAGTGTCAGATCTCATGTACCGTGTGACTTTTTAAATAAGCAAATGTCTTTTCTCCAAGATATCTACAAATCTGATAATGCATATTTTGTCACTAACACAAAGCAAATACATGATGTACACACACACACACACACACACACACACACACACACACACAAACGAGAGAGAGAAATAAAGGGATGAAACAGGACATAACCAAATACACACATTTGATCTTAGCCAAAAGGATGAAGCAATGTACACAAATAAAGGGATGAAACAGGACATAACCAAGAACACACATTTGATCTTAGCCAAAAAGAAGCAGCAATGTACAGTGGTGCCTCGCAAGACAAGTGCCCCGTTTAATGACAAAATCACATCACGACGAACCTTTTGTGATCGCAAAAGCGATCGCTTTACGATTTTTAAATGGGGTATTTTCGCTTTGCGATGATCAGTTCCCTGCTTCGGGAACCGATTCTAACAAAATGATGATTTTCGGCCAGCTGATGGGTGGTTTCAAAATGGCCGCTGGGTAAAAAAAATGGCTCCCCACTCTTTTCTGGGACGGATTCCTCATTGCACGGGCAGCGAAAATGGCCGTGCTATGGAGGATCTTCGCTGGACGGTGAGCATCAAGCCCACAGGAACACATTAATCAGGTTTTAATGCGTTTCTATGGACTTTTTAATTTCGCATTACAACGTTTTCGTTCTACAGCGATTTCGCTGCAACATATTAACGTCGTAATGTGAGGCACCACTGAAATCAACTATTTTGTCATGGCTGACACGGGTGGGCATTCTGTACCTTGGCCCAGGATACAGACTATATACAATGCAAGCAGGAGCAATTTGTGGACTGAGTGGCGGTGGGGGGGGGCTCATCCCAAATTTCAGAAGGATTTCCCCCCAAATCCTCTCATGAGCCACCTTTTGAAGGAACAGTTTCTATCCTCTGAAGGGGGACATTCATATATTCTAAGGATGCTACACACAGTTTCTTGTCTAAAGATAAAAGAGGAACCAAAGACCTCTAATTCTCTAGGTTTTTTCCTCTTTTTTCATTTGCTTTAGGCACTAACACCACCTTTGACAATGTCAAGAAGTCTGAGCTCATAACCATGCAAAAAAAGCTCTAAAGCTATACCAACAGCTATGAAAAGAATAAAAAAAATGCCTGTGACATTTATTATGTCAACAGGCATATAAGGTCTTGCACAAGAGGTCAGTCATGTTGCATTCATTCTATTTTTACTACCTAAAACATAAACCACATATTCACAACATGCCCATCAATTTAATTTTTTGAGATTTGCTCTTTACACTGCAGGCTCTTTGGCTGAGCGCCAGATCCAAACCCCAAACCCTTAAGAGTGTTCTTTGGAAGTGGGAAGACACTTACAATGGACTTCAGTGGGGAGTGAAGTTTAAAGAATTTCTTTCTTTTCTCTTGACACTAGTAGACAGGGTCATCCAATGTAGTTGAAGATTTAAGTCAGATAAAAGCTGCCTTTACCTACTCTGTAGAATTTGTTGTCCCAGGATGTCATGATATAGCTATCTCCTAGCTATGTTGGCTTCAAAAGGGAGTGGGCCCATTCATGGAGAGTGAATCCTTTGATGGCTAGACGCCACATCTGAATATTAATTGCAGGGAAAACAGAAGGAGAAGACCATGGCCTTCCCATCCTACTCATTAGCTTCTCAGAAGCACATAGTCAACCACTGGGAGAAACAGGAAACTGGATCATACAGGCCTTTTTCTGACCCACCAGGGCATCTCCTAGGTTCTTATGAAAAGCCCTTGTGCACATGGCTAGCTATTTCAGTCCCATCCATGAATTGTGGATTGGCATGTTTTACCAAAACATCTTCACCTACCTATTTCATCACCTAGCGAAGAGTTCAGTATGGCACCAGCAGACATGACAACAGCACAGTTTCCAAACCCATGTGGATACAGCTTATTCAGAGAAATCTGGGGGACGTGTTTCTCCCATCCAAGGACAGAAAAGGGGGCTTCCTTGCCATCAATGGTTCGGATGTTCACGCGGGCCTTGAGTTCACAGAAGAGCTGTTCGGAACTCAGCTTGGAGTTTCGTTTTCCTCTGAACCGCACCCCGTGCTTATTGGTGCTCAGATAATCTTTCATGGCCTTCTGAAGGCGAGGATTCAGCATCTTAGAGGAGACATCTCCTTTCCAAAGCCTGTACAGGATAGATTTTGACATAGTGGAATATATTCCATCCCATTCATCAGACTCTTCAAACATTTGGCTTCTTCTGCGTCTTGCATGCCTTTTCTTTATCTTCCTTTGAGGGAACCAATTATTCTGCAATACATTCCTCTTATGATCCTCCCCCTCTGCAGAGATTAATTTCACTATTCGCTGAACACTGCTCTGTGACCGAGGCTGACCAGCAGCAAATAAATAATCACTATCCCTTTGATAGAAAGCACTTTTTGACTTCTTTCTTAATTGGGAAGGAAAAAATTCCTCCTCACTCTCAAAGCCATCATCTAGGTCAGTCCACTTCTTAATGTTCCCAGCCCCTGATTTAAATGAATCTAAGACCGCTTTATTGAGAGGCACCTCGTTCCTGACAACCGTTTCTGAAAAGGATGGGTCATGTATTGCTCCCATGATAGCTCTCTGTTTGCCCTGAATAGGCAGAAGCCTTTTAGTCTCAATGTAAGAGAAAGAACTTGGAACTGCATCAGCTGTGTTACTATCTGTGAAATAGACAAAGATCACCAGGAATAGGAGGCCCCATGCAAATATTCCAAACAGCATTAGTTGTTTCCATTGCTTCAGGTTAGGTTTCATGGCAGTGTCTATTCCAATTCCTCTGCACCTTAGCAGGCTGGTGGGACAAAATCAAACCTGGGGGTGAAAAAAAAACACAAATTAATATAAGTGAAAGTCTCCAAGATGTTCTCAAAAGTTGCATGGGAACATTATGGCCTTAATCCAATTGCAGGTCCCAACAAGAGATACCTGATGTGACTGAACTTAGCTGACTCAATAGCTGAATGGTAAATCAACTAGCAACTGGATTTCGGTCTGAGATATTTACTATGGAACATAAGAGCAACAAAAATAAACCATAAAGATCCGTACATTGTCAGCCTTCTACTGAAACTTAGTGATTGGTGAACGTATTAGTCTGTCTTCCATTGGTAGTCACAACTATAGCAAAATTCCCAATTTATTTGCTAAATGGTAAATCAACACTTATGTAAATCCCACTGAGCCAATGGCTGAAATCCACTAGGAAGTTACAACTAGAGTAGGTCCAACAAATCAGTGGAACTTACAGGAGTTGACTTACCTGATCCTTGCTGGTTCAACAGGCCTACTCTAGTTTTGACTGACTACCGGATTTCAGACAATGAGTCTATTCTAGCTGCGAACAGCAGCAGGACACTGTGTATTACTGTATCTCCTTCCAAAGAAGTATCACAGTCAAGTAATCTGGGGCACATTATCATGAATGTTTTATCACTTCTGCATATTATACAAACTCTGGAAACCACTCCCATCTCAATTGTTGCTGAATTGAAATCTATCTTGAAAGACAAAAATCACACACATTTCCAAAAATTGGAAAAATAAACATACATATGCTGCTGAAAGAAACAGTAAACTTCCATGTAAATCTTTCTTATCAATAAGACAAATGGAGTCTCATACTATAATACTTTTAGACTTCAATCCTATGCATGCTTAGACACAACCCCCAGAGTTCAAAAGGAATTGCTTTCCAGTGAATGCAGCTTAAAAAACCCAGTGCATTTACATTTTAAAAAGGAGATCTTGTAATAATTTCACCACTGATGGGGAGTATCTTCCTGTTCCCATGTTGCCAAATGGAATAGCAGTCAGCCCAAGCCAGCCCAGTCATTTATGTGGAAAGTGAACACTGCAGTGCAACAGCATCTTGAAAGGCACACAGTCCCCATCCTTTCGTCCTGCTAAGAGACCAGAAAGGGTTTGAAATTTTCTTCAGACATCCAACTTGAGACATCAGGGCAGAACACCTAACAGAATATTTACTGAATGTTCACAGTTTCAGGGCAGATGTTGGCTAACAAGCACAGCTACAAGCTGGGAATTCCCATTTCATATTTCATCTCTGCAGTTAACTTGCTTTAGGGTTTATACAAGCCATCTTCTCCAAGCATAATCTTTTCCCTTCATAGACCTTACTGTTGAAAAGATTAAGATATATATGTGCATGAACCCTCTGCTGAAGACCAAAATGTGCTACATGGATGCTGACACTGGTCTTAACACACAGTGCTATGTGGCCAAGGCACACATCTTTTCAATATTCCTAAGAAGTGATAATACAATTCTTGGCTCACATTAAAACGAAGAGCACTCTTTGGTGAAAATATTGTACTGCGGGAGCTTTTGTTCTCCTTTGATCCCCCCACCTTTAAGCAGCTGACTGCAGCCAGCCCCTTTGCTCTGACCCCCATTGTATTGCCACAGAAGGCACTTCTAACATTTTTAAACTAGGCCTCCTTCTGTGTATTACAGGGAGAGCGCGGAGTGGAAGAAGACTTTGTATTCCTTTCAGATTTTCTTCTTTCAGTTCTTCCTATTGTTGAGGCCTCAGCGGACAACTCCCCACCCCCTCACTTTTTCTCTTTAAGAAATATGTATATAAAGACAAGCAGCTAGAAGGTCAGAATGATTCAAGTTGACGTTCTACATTAGACACTGTTATGTTAAGTAGGGCTTTTTCTCCTCCTGAAAGAAGAGAAGGAGGTATATTGCAGCTTTTCAATTAGATGTTTATCCCAGGGTATATAAAGGCTGTGAATTTGATGGCCAGACATTCCCAGGGTGTTGGGAACTCAGATCTGATGAGAGGATTGGACTACAGTGCTTGGGTGGAAAATGTTTCAGTGGTATTAGCTGGCAAAAGGAATTAAGAAATCTTTTTCAGCACAAAGCAAGGGCATATGTCTTTTCAAAGCATGCATAAAGACATGTAAGTGCACAAAGCTGTAACCACTACATTGCTGTTAATATTTCCTACTGCACAATTAGAACACTTTCTTTGAAAGAGAAACTGCTTTTCCTTTTTTCTTTTTTCTTTTTTGGGAACACAGCTAATCAATCACAAGAGAAAGTGCAATCTGCCTAATAACATATATTAGGACAAAAAATATCCACTTTCCACTTTGGTAAAAAGGTTAGAACGTGTAATGAATAAATAAAACAAAGTTACATGACTTCTCTTGACACTTTGGCATATGTAAGGAAGAGCTATTTAAGTCTGATGAATTCACAAAGGGATAAATCTATAATAAAACTGACACTTTTGCAACCCTTGGGTGCATACCTGTGCATGCAACCACATTCGATGTTACAGAAAGCAAAAAGTATATTGTCTTTCATACTCAAGAAACTATGTGGATTTTCTGGCCATTTAAAAAATATTTAACCATGCAAAAGCAATTGTGCATTTGTTCAACACATACAAATCTGTTAAGTAATCTAAAAAACAATGAATTGTGAAAAGTGATTCCAATATGAAATAAACAGTTAAGGAAAGAAGAAAAAAACTAGAAACAGGAAGGAGAGGAACAAAGAACTCCCTCGTTTCTGCTCTGCAGATAATAAGGTGGCAGACCTTTAAAAGTGGCAGTTTTACCACTGTCAATTCTGCAGTTTTTGTTCCATAAGATTGTGGCATGCCTGCACAGCCTTGAAACCACACATAAGTGGCTTTTAAGATACTTCTGTATTCTAGAATATGCAAAATTTATCTGGCCGATAGTTGGCTGACATGTGAATTTATGAAATGCAGAATGTTGGTTCCTGAAATCAAATATTATCATTTGAAAACCCAGCGAAATTCCTGAGGTGACCACAAGCCACACCAACCATTTTCCTTCCAGGTAGTTGCCAGATTTCAGAGTGTGGTGAATATCCTTCTCATCTCTTAACTGAGCCACCCCAAAAACAGCAAATAACTTTTAAAAGAGAAAGCCCCAATCATATCTGTAACTAAGAGTGAGATGGACTAGGAGTAGGTGTGAGTATGGCATTTTGTCACCAGGGAGTTTTCCTGCTGCTTCCACTGATAGTATCCTTTAGTGCAATGGTTAATTAAGGATGAGGGGTAAGATGCTGAGGCTCTTTTATTCTGAATTCCCTAAGTGCTGTAAAGCCATCATGGTAAAATTGATGAGGTGACTTCCATGGTATTTTCTAACTCCCTAACAAGTCCAAAGGACTACGAATTAGGGCCAGGGTTAGGGTTAAATTTACAATTTGTATTTGTTAAACCCACTGAATACTGTATTCCACCCATCTGACAAACAGGGCCAGCCTAATAAGAATCAGAATACGTCACTTCTCCTTCTTATTTTGTTCCACACCAGATGGATTTAAAAACAGAAATCTAGCAGCAAAATAAGCAAAAGATCTGTTGGGACGAGTGTTATCTCTAGCACATTGTTATCCCCAATAGTGTTTCTTTTAAAAAAAGAAACTGCATGGCCAATGACTGGGATTTAAAGGCATCAACAACAATAAGAATGATAATCTTAGAACTGCAGAGCTGGAAGAGAACCTATGGATCATCAAGTCCAGCCCCGCCAAGCATGGCCAAAATAAGCAAAAGATCTGTTGGGACGAGTGTTATCTCTAGCACATTGTAATCCCCAATAGTGTTTCTTTTAAAAAAAGAAACTGCATGGCCAATGACTGGGATTTAAAGGCATCAACAACAATAAGAATGATAATCTTAGAACTGCAGAGCTGGAAGAGAACCTATGGATCATCAAGTCCAGCCCTGCCAAGCATGGTGGAGAATCAAATTCTAACCTCTGAGTCCACAGCTACTGAGCTATCCACAGCTCCCTTTACAACTCTTCCAGTGACAATGCCATTGATGTACCAGAGATGGGGCACCTCCGATAGGGGTGAGAGAAACCACTTTCCCTATGGGGCTCACAAGAGCTCACAGCCTGCCATGACCACCATCAAACCACCTACCATCCACTTTACCTGTGCAGTCATTACTTCCACTACTATCAAAATAACCACATTTCCAATGGAAAACATGGCCCTTGGGAAACACGTGCCTAGTTTTCCAGTGGAACCAGTTTGTAGGTCTAGTTCTGTGTGAATTCTGCAACATGACTCCAAGGGACTAAAATGTCTCACTGCTGAGTATGAAAGTTTTAAAAAAAACACCCACCTGTCCTTTGTTACATAACTTGCTGCACAATTGTTCATGTGTACTAGAAATGCTAGCAGCATGGCTATTAGGCGTTTTGTGGCTCTGGAAGAAATGGAATACAACTGAAGTGTGCAGTTTGACTATTAATTTGAAGTAGAAGCAAGAAACTGTGATCCATTTTCAATCCAACCCAGTCTCCTATGGTAGTGATTTCTCTCTGCCCACTCCATTTGCGTTAGAAGAGTGGACGAACTGAACGCTTACTAACCGGATGGTGGGCTGTCACTGAAGAGCCGATGCTAGCACTGCCCTCCCGAATTTGGTCTCCTCTTTTGCCCTCACGTCCAATCTGTAGTGGGTTATGAAGGTAGAGGCATTAGACCACGTAGCGGACCGGCAGATGTCGGGCAGGTCGACGCCACGAAGTAAGGCAGTGGAGGAGGCAACAGCCCGGGTGGAATGGGCTTTAAGTCCCTGTGGAGGATCTCTGTGGTTGAGCTCGTAGGCAAGGGCGATGGTAGACACGAGCCACCGAGAGAGCGTGGACGGCGAGGCCGGGCAACCCTTCTTAGGGCCAAAGTGGCAAAGGAAGAGTCTGTTGGCCAGGCGAAAGTCCTTGGTCCTGGACACGTAAAAAGCTAAGGACCGTCGAACATCGAGCATGTGGAGCATGCGTTCA